CCAAATGGTTTCAGCTACTTCAATCATAGCTTGGTCTGTTACTGTTCTCTCTCTAGTTTTTTCTAGCTACAAAGTTTCGATTTTTCACTCACTCTAGTTAAAGCTCTCTTCTTACCATCTTCTTTGTTCTGCTTTTTTCAGGGGCTCTGGAGAAGATGGGCAACTAGGAACTGGTACGAACGAAGACAAGGAATGGGCTTGTGTCGTTGAAGCTCTCGAGCCTTACTCTATTTGCTCTGTTGTCTCCGGTAGCCGTAACTCCCTCGCCATTTGCGATGATGGCAAGGTACTCTCCGAGACAATATCAAAATGAGATTATGTCTTGTTTTAATTGGTCTCTATACTTTTGTGGATATGATTTCTATCTGCTACTGGTCAAAAAAGTTTTCCTTAGTTCTGGTAAGATTTGAAGGAACCAAGGAACATGGTTTGCTCATCAATCGTAACCAGTGAAGCTCTGTGTCTTCTTCTCTTGTGGGAAAAGTACACTCTTATCTGTGAATCTTAATTAGAAGTTAGCTAATAGGTCAAAGTTGTTTCTTTTCGTGGAATTGGTCTGGTTCTGGTCATTATTTCAGTAGTTTGATGGCTAAATCAAAGGTTTTAAAATTCAGAAAGTTGAGATTAAGCTCTATTTCACTGAGTTATGTTTCGGGTTCTTTCAACTGATCTCAGATGTTTACATGGGGTTGGAATCAAAGAGGTACATTAGGGCACCCTCCAGAGACAAAGACAGAAAATGTCCCTAGTCAAGTTAAGGCCCTTGTCAGTGTCAAGATCACTCAGGTTTGATCTTTCTTTCTTCTTATGGGTTGTGGTATTCGATAAATTTATCATATGGAAGTACCAGTGAATGTGTTTTTGTTTGTTTGTAATGGATCATAGGCAGCAATTGGTGGTTGGCATTGTTTAGCTGTTGATGATCAAGGCCGAGCATATGCGTGGGGTATGCCAAGTGTTATTGTTTCATTCTCTATATGTTTTGCTTGTTGGATCATATTGAAACTGATTATGGAATGCACTCAGGTGGGAATGAATATGGACAATGTGGTGAAGAGCCTTTAAAAGATGACTTGGGTAGGCCCGTGCGTAGAGATATTGTGATCCCTAAGCGTTGTGCCCCGAAACTTACAGTCCGACAGGTAAACTAACTCGTGTTCTAATTCTAAATCTCTCTGCATTGCCTCACCACACAAATCCAACTTCTCTTCTACTCAACTATGTTGATCTGTGAATAAATCTTTTTGAGTTTTAATCTTCTTAACAGGTAGCTGCAGGTGGTACTCACTCAGTGGTTCTGACACGCGAAGGTCATGTGTGGACTTGGGGTCAACCTTGGCCTCCCGGTGACATGTATAGAAAACAATTAAACTCACTCAAAGAAATAGTATACATTTGTGTGCATTCTAAGGCTATTATTGAAATGTTGGGTTTGGTTTTGCTTCTAAATTGTAGAAAACAAATATCTGTTCCTGTAAGAGTTCAAGGTCTTGAAAATGTTCGTCTTATTGCTGTTGGGGCATTTCATAATTTGGCTCTTGAAGAAGATGGGAGATTATTGGCATGGGGTAATAATGAATACGGACAACTTGGAACCGGTGATACTCAGCCAAGCTCTCATCCTGTTCCTGTCCAAGGACTCGATGATCTCAATTTGGTTCGTTTTTTTTCTCCTTTTCTTGATTCTTTTTCTACCCATTAAACCTGATTATAAGTGATTCTGATTATAAGTATTCAAATGACACCACCGTCTTCTGATGCTTAATCTGCAAAACCAATCTGTAGGTTGATATTGCTGCTGGTGGATGGCATTCAACAGCATTGACCGATAAAGGCGAGGTATTAGAATTCATTTACTGTCAAACATTTTCTCAAAGTCTCCATCTTTCCTTCTCATTCTAATTCTCACCATGTGCTATAGCTCATAATTTTAGTTATTATGTGTTTGGTCTTCTAATATTTAGGTGTATGGTTGGGGAAGAGGAGAACACGGAAGACTCGGGTTCGGTGACAATGACAAGAGCAGCAAAATGGTTCCTCAGAAAGTTAATCTCCTAGCTGAAGAAGATATAATTCAGGTAGTAAAGAGTTCAACTTTAGTCATCTTGAGGTCTCTCTTCTTTTGCATAAAGTATTAAACTTGAAATCATCTTGAGATCTCTTCTTTCTTTCCATAAAACAAAGGTTTCTTGTGGAGGAACACATTCAGTTGCTTTGACAAGAGATGGCAGAATCTTCTCGGTTAGTCCCTTTCAAAACCCGAGAAAAACCGCTCGCGAAAAACATTCATTCTACGTCTGATTATGTAATCTCTTTGTGATCAGTTTGGTAGAGGAGATCATGGAAGACTTGGTTATGGAAGGAAAGTGACAACAGGACAGCCATTGGAGTTACCTATAATGATTCCTCCACCTGAAGGACGCTTTAATCACGCAGACGAAGAAGAAGAAGGAAAATGGTTAGCTAAATCGATTGCTTGCGGTGGTCGCCACACTCTTGCCATTGTTGAATGGAAGTCCGATGATATGAACCTATGAAAGAGAAGAAAGCAATGTGTATGATTCATACGAAGGGAGGCAAAAGCAGAGTTATGTATTTGTGAAAACAAAAGTGAGAAAACATCCTTCTTATTTCAAATTACTTTTTTCCATATAAATAATCTTTAGATTAAAGTGATTTTGAGATTTCAAGGTAAGTTTTTACAAATATAAAATTTTGGTCATGTGAGTGAGTTCTTGGTAGACTTTTAGTTTGTTGAAAAGATAGAGCAAACATTTGTCGTTTACAATCTTTTCAATCAATAAAAAATGTGCCGTGTGCCAATTCGTAAACTAAAGTTAAATAAATTCAATAGAACTTTCTTTTATAATTGAGAAATTTAAAAAAGTATCACTTTACCACTTTACAAAAATACCATATTTTTATAATCTTTACAAAAATACCATTTTTTCAAAATTATTTATTCATTATATCATTTATGTTTGGATTAACTATATTGTATTAGGGTTTAGTTTTGAGAGTTTTAGGGGTTTTAGGGGTCAAAAAAATT